ATGATTGAGTTACTGTATTTGAAATAAAGATTTTAAATTTATATTGAAAGAAAAAATGAGCAAGCTCACATACCCCACGCTCCCCCAAATTTCGACAATGAAACACGTAATGAATGGCACAGTGCATTTTAAATACACAGTATACTTCAAAAAGGGGCATTACTTGCAAAAAATCATTACATCAAAACTTCTTGCATACAAAGACATTCAAATCTTTGTATGTTACAAATTTAATTTGGCTGAAGTTTCTAGATAAATAATGGAATCAAAATTTCTGGGTAATATACAAATCTATACATTATGTCTGAAATACCTACAAAGTTTCAGGAAATTCAGTGCAGGAGTTATGCTGACAAAGTTATTTAATTTTCTGTGATTTCGATTTGTTAATGAGTGTAAGTCCATGTCCAACACATGACAATTTACACATTTAAATAATTGATGGAAACAAAATTATGATGTAGTCATATGAATTTGTTTAAATACTGTACTTATGAAATTATTTAAGGCAAAGCACCAATTTGAAAGGGGGGGGGGTTGAGAACTATCCAAGATTTTGTGTGTGTTAAATCATTAATATTTTGATCTCCAAATCAACAGGGGTCTTTTAAGGTCATAAAATATTTCACATAAAATTTCATTACAAAAGCTGATTCCAGCGGATTTCCTTATTATCTAGCTGGAAAGTTTCTTCAATAATAGGCAAAACTCTTAAGGCAAAAATAATGGAATTGGAATTTCCTGGTAATATTCACATCTACAAACTGTGTACTAAATATCTGCAAAGTTTAACCAAATTCTGTGCAGCGGTTTAAGAGGAGTTGCGCTGACAAATTGTTCATCTCTATATTCACGATATGGTCAAAAATCTAAGTTGGAAAGTGCCGAAATTCCCAGAAAAATAATGGAATCGGAATTTCCTGGTAATATGCACATCTACACACTGTGTCCTAAATATCTGCAAAGTTTAATTAAATCCTGTGCAGCGGTTTAAGAGGAGTTGCATTAACAAACTGTTCATCTCTATATTCAAGATATGGCCCAAAATCTAAGCTGAAAAGTGCCGAAATTCCCAGAAAATGATAGAATCGGAATTTCCTGGTAATATGCACATCTACACACCGTGTCCTAAATATCTGCAAAGTTTAACGAAATTCTGTGCAGCGGCTTATGAGGAGTTGCGCTGACAAAAAAAACAGGACTGACTGACTGACTGACACACTGACTGACGGACGGGTCAGAATCATCATACCTCACGCAACTTGTTGCGTGGGGTATAATAAAAGTCCAAACTGATAAATTAAACGTACAAATTGAAGTTGAATGATTTTTTTCTATTTACACAGAGGTGCGAAAAAAATCAACGCATACGGACATGACACATTACGATCAGAAACAATATATTATTAAGTAAAGTTTAAGAAAACGAACCAAGTTCGAATTCAGTATGTTTCTGTATCATATATAATTATATATATGGAAAGCACAGAGACTTTATAAGGATACCCACTTTCGCCCTAAGCCCGGATTAAACTCTTAACCAAGGGAATCTCCTAGCATTACAGGAGTCCGCTCGGCCATCTAGGCAAGTCAAACAAGAAGTCTGTGGGCTAATGCTCACTATAGTAATACCCCCGCTCCGATGTGAATATACGTTCTCACTGAACTCCACTATATGGCATGCCTAAACAAAGAGTGTTAAAATTTCAAGCATCTGCCTGGAATAGTTGCTGAAAAACTGTGACGAAAATTTGGTACGGACAGACGCATTTACAGCCTCAGTACGACTATTTCAGAAGAGAATTGATCCATTTTAATACTCTATGATGTACAATGTATAAAGAGTTGTAACGAATAGCTTAAATTAAGAATTACGTATGGCATGCCTAAACAAAATTTCAAAGTACCTGCAGTCAGTAGTTGTTGAGAAAACTGGGACGAAAATTTGGTACGGACAGACGCACGGAAAATCAGGAAGTTGACATCGGATTTGTACAAAAATGAATCCCACCATATGGCATGCCTAACAGTGGCGTATATTCCTATCTGCTAATTTGTAGGCTAGTGAGAAGTCCAAGATTTAGACTGAGGCGCAAAGTGTGGGTAGGCAAAAAGAAGTCCCCCCCCCCCGATAGGAAGAGGGGGAGGGGGGGGGGTCAGTGGGAGCTTTTTTGCGAAGACATTTACGATTGTCATCTACAATTTAACAAGTGGAAATAATATTGTAAACATTTTTTATTCAATTTATATCATGATATGAAGACTACTTAACAAAACTGAGAACTTTCAACTTATTTTTACTCTGCTTGCAAAATATGGAAACTTCCTTGAATAATCTAAATACGATCAATACATTTAATTTCCTACTAACCAAAAATATATTTCCAGTAATATTATTTCATTTACTGCACCTAATCATGGCCTCTTGTTGCTGTCGATGATTTTTTCTAAATTGTCTGATACAGACTTAATAAAACACTTGAGTTTCGGATGTAAAAAATTCCACCTATAGGAAGTTTTGTCGTTATATATATATATATATATATATATACATATATATACATATACATACATATATATATATATATATATATATATATATATATATATATATATATATATATATATTAAAACTGTCAACGTTGGATAGGTATAAAAGTACGGATTGCTAAGAATGCTTTTTTTTGGCATTTGCAACAAAATAAAATTAATAGATATATAGAATTATTATCATCTTTTCTTCCCTTTTTTCCAACCAATTTTTATCCCTAAGAAATTGATGTGTAGGCTACAGCCTTTTTGCCTATATGTAATATACGCCACTGCCTAAACAAAGAGTGCTAAAATTTCAAGCATCAGCAATGAGTAGTTGCTGAGAGAACTGCGACGAAAATTTGGGACGGACAGACGCACGGATAAACAGAAAGTTGACATCGCATTTGTACAAAAATGAATCCCATCATATGGCATGCCTAGACAAAGCGTGTTCTAAAAATTCAAGCATCTGCGGCGCGGCACTTCTCGATCATTTAGAATGGAAGTGAGAGACAGTTGTTTGGACATTACTTTTACTAGAGGATTTACCGATACACAAACAAACTTGTTTAGTAAAAAAAAAAATTGATTTATTTGGTTTGTAACTTTTAAAAAAAAAAGCTTTACGAGGGGTTATCAAAAAGTTCGTGGACTGATGCGATAAAATTAATACTATGTAGTCTATGCTTACAAAATTTATAAGGAACATAAAACAACAAAGGTTTAAGAAATGTTGACAATTTTAGCTTGATACGTTGATAATTTGCCCAATTATTCTAAAATAAAAAACACATTATACGATCACCTGGCGCTGTCCCCGTTTAGTTTCATGACGTCCGACAAACGTCATTTGTTTCTCAATGTCCGCTCTCTCTACCTCATACACTTACCTTGATGAGATTACCTGGAGTTGAGTAAGGACTTAAGCCCATCTTCTTTATATGACCTTACAATGTCATGAACAGCTGCTTTCAATGCATTTAATATTATAAATGGATCTATACATAGGAAAATCCTCACGTGATTATGCCAGAATACTTAGCTTGTTGGAGTTCAATTTCTACCACACATGATCAACGTCACTTTTCGACGTGACTGACTTTTGACACCCTGACTACAAATCGACACTAACTCTGCATCTTCCATCTCTCTGAATCTTTTTGGGCATTTAAAAACAAGTACTCTGGATTCATTTTATTTTTCTGTAGTCCGTTTAAACATTCCTTAGGTCTGTACCAGTTTTTCCATGAGCAAAACTTTATAGAATGTGGAAAAAGAAGGACGAAAAAGGTCAAAAAGGACGAAGTCATTCCATCATGAATACATGTACGTATTGGAATTCAAAGTTTACCCATTCATTATCTTCTAAACAGGGAACATCAACCTGAATGTATATCTTATGACTGTGAAGTAAGTATACACCATGTTCTTTTAGAATGTACAGATTTTTCGCCTATATGAAGTAGGCTTTTAAATATGTGCAAACGATGCATGATCTTTTTACAAACATTAGTCCTTGTATAATTTTACAATATTTACCAAAATAAAAAAAAAACAAAATACAAAAACAAAACAGAAAAAAACAAACAAACAAACAAAAAACCACCAACTTATACAGTAAGATTTAGTTGTGTACAATTTAATTTACATTTGTTTGTAAATGTACATTTAATTGTTTTCATATTTTTAAATTTCAAGTTTACGTTAAGTGGTGTCAATTCAAGGATTACAACCCCCTTGGCATGTAAAAGATCATTTATCTGGTTTTCAAAAGAGAACAGACTCACTGGGAGCCGCCATAGAAACCCAAAAATTTTCAAAACTGGCTACAAAACGTATTTTTTTATTGCCTATGAATAATTAAGAATAACAATCAATCAATCAACTACAGTAGGGCGAAAGTGACTTAGGTAAGCGTTATGGCCCATGGGCCTCTTGTTTTACTTCATGTCTCTTTATTACATCGAGAGTTATGTTTACAAAAATGTGACGGAAAGCATATTTACATGTTTTTATTAAAGATGTTATTTGATTCTTTGCAAAAGGTCCGACCCTTTTTTTAAGGGAAGTCAGTGAACCGATAGATTTGTTTATTGTAACATCACATTTAATTCGTAGTGGACATTGAACATTATAACTACAGTAAATATAAATTATCGCATAGATGAGTTAATAAAGAATGTGTTTATTCAAACTAAGCTTGAAACGTCTGTTAGATTAAACATAATTACAATATAAAGATGCAACAGTTAATTTTCAATCTGCTGCAATATCATTTTCGTTACATCTTGTTACTTTGATGAGGTCGGTAACCCTTATTTATGCACGTTATGTATTCTTCGTTTTAATACGAAGATATACACTTTGCCTTCCCAGACTGTCTAGTTGCCTTAAACGGTATAAAGGCGGCCTCTAAATGTCTTCGAGATCTTTCGATGAATCTGGACACTTGAAGATTTTCTTACTTTACATCGCTTCATTTCCACGTCCGATGATTCAATTTCCTTTAAACTTTGCAAGTAATTGTCAAACAGCAGAGTAAATGGACAATGGACGTTTAGACCTAATTTTGCACTTGTTTCAGTGAAAAGGCAAGTTTCAGGGATGTTGTCACATGCCTTTTCGGTTGAAATTTTTCGGGTTGACTTGATGTCTAATTTATTTCCAACCATTACAATATTGTCAAAACAACGACCTACAAAAAATTAATACATAATTCATACAACAAAATCGAACAGAAAAAAATAATCACAAGCAATGATTATGATTAAAATGTAATTTTTTTTATTTGTTTTTTATGTTGTCCAATCAAGCTATAAAAATTTACGCTCTTTGTCCTATCTTTAAAAATTCGACGAAATAGGATATATATTGGTTAAAACATCGAGATTCGCAAACCTTTTAGCCTGGTGATTTCTTGACGTATGACCTGGGCTTCGTCGTACGATTGCTGGTTGTCTACGGCATACATGACGACGAACGCGTCTCCCGTCTGTATGTAAACCTCTTTCATGGAAGGAAACTCATCCAGATTGCTGATATCCACAAACTCCACTCGATGATACAATCCATCTAAAACAAATTTAATATTTTTTCAAGTATGTAAAATTTCTTAAACACTTTTAACAAATTGATTATGTTTTTGCTTTTAAATTCAAATTATTGAAGTATACCTGGAAAAAGTATCATTTTGCTGTGTACATCTTTGGATACATTAGACTCTATGCTGTGATCCGGGGAAGACTGTAAAAAGGTTTTCACTAGAGTTGTTTTTCCAACTCTATTTGCTCCTAAAACAACTACTCTTAATACCTTCATGATTCACTCGTAAATAAAGTTTTACAGAGGAATTCTCTTATTTATTGCCAATTTTAAATAATGCCAATTAACGAGCTATTATTTGATTGCTTGATTTTCAAGTTTTAATTAAAAAAATAGAATTATTTTTCAACTAATAAGTAAGTAATGAACATGACATTTTCGTTTATGTATTTAGTAAGTAATTAGTATAAAATCTCTATAATAAATATTCTGTGACGTAAACAATTAGAAATAGACTTCTGATTTGTATTAATCATTGGAATGTATTACAGATTTGTATTGTCATCTATTTATGTTTTTAACACCATCCCCTGCAAGGAAGTTTGGGGTTATGATGAAAAATTCTTGTCTGTCTGCCAGTTTGTCTGGTAAAGATCAGCGGTTATGAAATGTTGTGATGTTAAAAAATTATCACTTTATGTATCCAAAACGAACTCGCATAGTTGCTCGTATACATGCTTTCTTATTAGACTTCTACATCAGCCCTCAGCACTTAATGATAAGTACAGATCGAGCTGAACTCTGTCCTAATCGGCAATAAGGATAATGACCAGTCAGGCTGAATTCTGTCCTCAGCAACTAAGGTTGAAGACGGATCGAGTTGAATTCTGTCCTAAGCACTTAAGGTTAAGAACAGATCGAGTTGAATTCCTTCATAGATTAATGTAAGTGGTATCCAAACAGAACTTGCACATAATTTTCACCAATCGTATACCTTGTTGAGAGATACAGTATCTGAAGAACATTTAGCTGATGAAATGGAAACATTTAATGCATCACCGGACTTTGATTCAAGACAGTTCACGCTAATTGTCTAGTAGCTTCACCACCAAAATAGCATACCGTGTTTACGTTTGTTTCATTAGGTACATTCATCAGCCACTGTACCTTACACGCAATTTATTCTTGTATAACTTTACCTGAGGAGAAATTAAGGGTTTTTCCTCTAACTTTATATGATAAGTTTACTTTGCAGAAACAGATTGCTATAACGTAATATATCTTAAGGCGGAATGTCCCTCTGATAAGAGAGATAACTTGCCAGCGAAATAATTCCAATTTGTCCGGTGAATTGCCGTGCCATATAATATTGAATTCTATTTTCCTTTGCCAATTTTTTTTATAGTTACTTTAATATATTTGACCTAAAACATTTGCACTCAGTTCTTTTAAGCTGTTAAGAATGAGATATTTCTATTTCTTAATAAACAATTTTTAAAATGCTACGGTGATTTTCCAGATGTATTTTCATTACTTTTACATTTTTCCCTTAAAAAAACGAAGAAAGATACCTCTTTTAGCTGGAAAGATAACTTGTGGATGGTTGCATTTTTTAAAGCACAGATAACAATGTGATACCGGTATTCTGATTTAAAAAGCAACGCTTCATTGTGTTTTCTTACATGTATGACAATAATTTTATTTTCATTTATACCTCATTTTTTAAAATTTTATTTTGAGATAATAAATTATTGATCTTTCTATTCACTGTCTCAAAATTTCTCCATATCATGATTAGACATAATATTTATTTCCGAAAAAGTAAGCAACTTTTCATACTTCAAACTATTTTTCATTTGAATCTAATGTTATTGTTGATGAAAGTGAATGTTGGGAATTGGAAAAAAAAATAGTGAAATTAAGACCTAAGGGTTTTTTCAATTTAAATCAAAAGTTGTTTTAATGGACTAAACAACTATGTAATAAATTAATATCAAAGTAGGTTTTTTAAATATGCAAGAACACAGGCAGATTTATATCCGGATATGCAGAGAAAATTTGGCTTAGATTTTAATTTTTCAAAATTTTACAATTTCTTTTCTTTAGTTTGAGTTCGTATACAAAATCAAGAATTTTCAAATCAAATCGGTAAATTTCTCTGATAGGAAATTAAATACACCTTTTACATGTATCATATTCTAGCTGAAGCCTAACACCAAATTAGGATTATCATACTTTAACTTTTTACCCCGATTATTCTGATACTGCTTATCCCTGGTTAGAAATAAAAAATAAATGACAAGAAGAGGCCCAAGGACCTTAACGGTCACATGAGTATTATACAACAATTTAGTTTTTTTTTTGGTTTGTTTGTTGTTTAACGTCCCTCTCAAAATTTTTTCGCTCGTATGGAGACGTGACTTGCCGGTGGAGGGCTACCAATTTTTGACTTACACTTTGTACTCAGGCCCACTGAGCATTGAGGGAGCACCTCCTGCGACACGGGACCTCGGTTTATACGCTCTCTTCCAAAGGACCGGCCTAGCTCCACGTTCCACAGTGGATTCGAACCCACGACGTAAGGATCTACTCCTCACATCGCGACTCTCAAGAAAACGCTCTCACCACTGCGCCATGCGGGCGACTACAACAATTTAGAGGATCCATTGTTTGTTTGTTGTTTAACGTCCCTCTCGAGAATTTTTCACTCATATGGAGACGCCACCACTTGCCGGTGGAGAGCAATTTTTGACCTTTGCTCGGCACTTAGGGGCAGTGAGGGATCTTTTTCGTGCCAGCACCTACTACGACATGGGATTTCGGTTTATATGGTCTTATTCGAAGGACCGGTCTCCACGTCCCACAGTCGGATTCGAGCCCGCGACGTAAGGATCAGCTCCTTAATCCGTGACTCTAGAGCAGACGCTCTACCACTGCGCCACGCGGGCGACTTAAGAGGATTCATAGAGTAAAAAATAAACTGATGGATGAAGTTTTCTTGCCCAAAAGCAAGAGGAAAAGGATGATCGGGATCAATGAAAAAATTAGTCTAGTATTCAGTAACAACTCATAAAGTCCCCCATTTATCATTTATCACCATAATATCACTATTAACAAATTATCAGTGCTTCTGTACCATTTTAACCCCATATTATAACATCTCACATTGACCTCTCTTGGTCTTTGAAGAACATTTAATAACATTATTAATATGACGATAACCGTTCACGGTAGCTCAGTCGGTAGAGCGCTCGCTCCGTGATCGGGAGGTCGTGAGTTCGAATCTCGGCCGCGACAGACCTAAGTCGATAAAAAATAGGTAGCAACTGTTCCTTCGCCATGCGCTCGGCACTTTGGAGTGAAAGTTGCGGGTCTTTCGGATGAGACCTTAAAAACCGAGGCCCCGTGTCACGGCAGGCGTTGGCACGATAAAGATCCCTCACTGCTCAATGGCCCTGAGTGCCGAGTAAAGGTCAAAATTTGAAGCCCTTCACCGGTATATGGTGACGTCTCTATATGAGTGAAAAATTCTCGAATGGGACGTAAAACAATATACAATCAATCAATCAATAATATGACGATATTATTTTTGTCTCCTTTTTCTTTATCTCTAATTTGCAAGTCTAACTGATCATTAAAATTATGAAAGTACTTTTTGTGTTACACAAGAATTCTTGCATAATTCTCTTATTCTATTATCCTCTCAAACCCATTATTTACAATGTTTAATTATCAAAAGTGAATGGCAAAGGGGAATAACTTTTCTCAGTAGAATACATATAAATAGAGTTCTGACGAGGACCCGAACACTTGATCAAATGGACCAGATATTAAAAAAATCGTAAAAATGCCCTTGCTTATTAAAACTTTTACTCTGTTAACCTCCGTTATGCCCAGGAGCAGAGAAAATTTTCACTTTTCATTTTCACTTCAGATTCAACACAGCTCTACCCTAACACCAGACCCATGACCCAGGGTCGTGAAATAAAGTTGGAAGAGGCACCTTTACTATCGTAACTATGCACTTAATTGAAGATTTTTAAAGAATTAAAACATTTTCTCTATATAATTAATATATCCCCCCACACACTTGAGAAACACCAGAGCCCCTGACCCTGGGACCACAAGTTTTTTAAACTTTGTAAGAAACACCCTTGCTCTTCATAATTATGCACTTTTTATCTGCTCAACACTAAGGAGCAGACAGGATTATTTGATTGAATTAATGCATTTTCACTATATTGTCAGTATATAACCCACCCTTTCACCAAAACCCCCGAACCTGGGGCCATAAATTTCACAATTAAGGAAGATGCATCCTTGCTTATCATAACTAGGCACTTAGTTTATTTAATTATTACCCAGAAGCACAGAAGATTTTCAAAACATTAAAGCATTTATGGCATTTTCACTTTATGTATCCAAAACGAACTCGCATTTTCACTAAATAATCATTAGAGCCCGTCCTAAAACCAGAATCCCTCATCCTCCATGAAATTCACAATTTTTAAAGAGGTACCCTTAGCTTGCTCAACTATGTACTTTGTTTAATACCCAGGAGCAGAGAATATTTTCAAAGAAATGATGTATTTTCACTATATGATCTATTTATAGTCCCGTCCTAGCACCACAACCCCTGACCCTCGGGCCATGAATTTCACAATTTTGGTAGAGGACTCGATGCTTATTCAATCAAGACAACAGTTTGACTGCTTGATGCCTAGGAATATAAAGAAGAATATTTTTAAAAACTGCATTAATTTTGGTGGTTTTAGGCTCACCCCTTAGGACCCTTTGGGGGGCATGAAATTCACAGTTTTTGCTCCCTTCACCCATATATGCTATATGCCAAAATTAATTGAAATTGGTTTAGTGATTTCAGAGAAGAAGTTGAAACAGACAGACAAAAAACGGATAGCATAGGCCACCTGAGTGACTTAAAAAGCTGAAGATAACTAATGGTGATCGATCTTTAAAAAAGTTTAACAATACACATTTGTAAACAGGGCGGGGACATCAGGTGCGTAGGAGGAGTAAGCACCCCCTGTTGACCGGCCACACCCGCTGTGAGCCCTATGTATTGATCAGATAGACGGAATAATCTGTAGTCATATACAGTATAAAAATAATGACCGAACATGTCAGTCATGATGGCACCCGTAAAGGAAATCATTAAGGGTTTGCATGCAGTAAGATCATAAGGGGGACAAAATAATCTCGCCCTTAAAAATATGCAAAGCTGGTTAAGGTTTTCTCTCTCTCTCTCTCTCTGATAG